TGTCATTTAACGAACTGTTTCATTTCCCCCTTTTTAAGTCATAAAGCTCAGTTTGTGCAGTGACAGATGTTCTGAATATCTTCAGCTCTATGAAGGTTTCCTTCTCTTAATTTGACTCCATTATGAAGCTTAGTTTGACTGTGTGCCAAGTTATCTCTGTGTGGTGCCATCTGCACTGTCATTACATGTAGTATATCAGATTTGTGCTGCAGAATTGATCCCATGTGCAGGGAAGGCAAATGATAAAAATAGAAGATCTATGTTCAGAGAGACTTGTCAGTAATGATAGCTACATTTTAAAGCCCCAGCATTCATTTCCATTGATTTGGCTTTGCTGTCTTTCAGTACATGATCTGTGATTTCATGCAATTTTATACACCTACAGTACTGTCTTGCTATATTGGTTTGATTTTTAGCAGAATTTTGCGGATCACTGTTCTTAACATAGAGACAGCATACAGATTTGCTATTTGCTATTACATCTAAGTAATAATCACCCAGTAAACTGATCTAAAACTGTGTTTCCTTTTCTGTGGCTGGTTGAGAATAAGACTGGATAAAATGAAATCAAAGTTGCCTTCAGATAAAGAAGAAATTCTCAACACTGCATATTAGCTTATTTTTGAATCTAGTGAAAAGCTGATGTTGCTTGCTTGTTGCAAAAAATGTTTTTCTCTTGTACTCGAATTCAAATATTTGACTCTCTTAGTCTCGAAGGTTTGTTTCTGTTTTTAACATACAAAAAAGCCAGTTATAGAACTGCAGAAAATCAAAATAAAAAAAATCCAATCTTAATGCTTTATCTCTTTGTTTTACACAATTTTATCTCTCTCTGAATGAGATATACAGTATACAGTTTGTCCAAATAAGCAGACTTGTATATAATAGTTTGCCTTGGATACCCTTTCCTCCAGACTGAAAATACTGGCCATTATACATTGTGAGATGTGATGCAGTGTGTTTCATGTTGCGTATTCTGATCACCAGATTCTAGTCCTCAGTTGTTAGTCCACAGGGATGACGCTCATATCCTGGGATCTTTTAAGAAAAGGTGGGATGAGACCTCCGATCAATTAGCTACTGGCAACCAAGTAAGCTGGATAGGCTGAATGACCTTTCTTATGTTCTTATGTGCTCCCTGGTAACTCAATAATTCAATTCTGACTTAAGTCAGAACTCAAGGTTTTGGTCAGGTCAAAGAGGTTAGGTCAGATCTGGAATTTTTCAGTTTTCTGTAAATATAATATCTTTTGAGGATCTTGTTCTTTTTTATTTTAAGGGGACACTGTCTAAAAATAACCGTTCATTCATTATCCCTTAAATTACAGTAAGCCTTTTGTTTAGTTCCAGTGCACTCCACAAAACAAAGAAAACAAGCAGTTATGATTCCTTCATGTATTGTTTTAGTCCTTGTGAGTTTCTGTGAGTATAGTATGTATTTATTCCTCACAGTACAGTATGTTACTAAATACGTTTGGTTTTCAGAGATGCTTGATTATAATGGAACTGATAGGGAAATAGGGATTCTTGTGCCTGATGTGCATCCCTGTTCACATAAATGTCAACTCTCTTCTAGGATTTTTTTACACAGCATGCTGCATTGATGTTTGATGTAAATGGTTATTAATATAACCATGTCACTCCAGATGGTTCTGCTTTAATATTGCAAATACGTGATTCAAAAGGATGTTTTACAGGCTGTATTTTAATTGTTCGTATAAGTACTGTCAGTCAGGCAGTGTTGCTTCTAAAACTGCATAGAATCCTTAATGTGAAAAGCATACATTTCACTGAAATGCATTTTGTGCTTTTTTTTAATACAACAAAACAAAGCTTTTTCACTTTTCCATCCATCCATTTTCTAACTGCTTCATCCAACTCAGGGTCATGTTTCACAGAGGTCAAGTCAACTCATTATAACTATCTGAACATTTTTAGCATTTGTGACAGATTATGATCTCTGTTCCTCGATTAAGAACGGAATTTGATTGTGGTTTATTGACCAGCAGACTAGAGATGTGCTGAAGATTTCTCTATTTCTTTTGTCAAGTTCAGATCTTGCTACATTAGCTGATTTCTGGTTGTTCCTGTGGTTTCTGAAGAGCTTGTGGGGATATACAGCCATGAACAACATTCCCAATGGAGATGCCACTTTAATTAAAGAAGTCCTTAGGCAGAGAGGTTTATAAAATGAAAACTAAGTGAAAATACCTGGAAGAATAGATACCTGCTATTTGATTAGCCTTGTATGCACTGAAGAGTCACAGATCAATGAACTGTTCAGTCAATGAGTTTGTCAAGTCAACATCGGGGGATTTGCGACATTTCAGTCTGTTTGTGAATAAAGAGAGACCAAGTCTTGTAATTTTATCAACAGTCTTCTTAAGATCAAGTGGACTTATCTCTGCTTTTTACTCCCAGAAAATACTACAGTATATGTTGAGTGGTACGCAAGTTCTACTGTTATGCAGAAATGTACTTTTAGGATGATTTTTTTATACAAAATAATTTTAAACTTTTAATGTTAAAGACCTTCAGGGCTTAGGCTAGGGCTTATCTTTCTTTTTGTGTTACTGTGTGTTGGTCTTTCCTTTGATCATCTATATTTCATCAGCAGTAGCTTTACATTGAAAGTGAATTTTATGCTAGAATCCTTGAACAACTGAACAGCTGTTTTCTCTTCAGTGACAGAGAACATCAAAGTGATGACACACATCTAATTTTACAAGAAGTCACCAACAGTCCTTATCTTTTTTAGTCAGGAGTAGATCACAACGAAAACGCACGTCTTATTCTGTCTGAACTTTTGTTTTGAACTTGTTTAGAACTTATTATTTATTTTTATTATTTTATTATTATGTTATTTACAGTATCTGTTAGAACTGTGTCCTCCTGCAGTGCCTTAATTGCCATACTATGTGCTCCAAGAGTCTTAGGACATCAGTTGTATAACAGTCAAACTGTCAACAAGAGCAGGTTTCAATAACTAAGCTGTAAAATAATACAAATAGGAAATATAATTTATAAAAGCTGAACTGACAGTTTGGAAAAGCTACAGGAAGGTTATTTATTGCCCAAATTCACAGAAACTTTGACAGGTCTATAAGATTGGTAGAGTTTGTTTTTATGGAGCTAAGGCTCTTACCCAGCATACACCTGGTTTTCACTGGAAAACATCAGACAAACTGCACTGTAAGTGTATTCCCGAGTGAATCTAATTCAGTGTTATTAAATGGGCGTAAAGGTGCTGTTATTTTCCTTTACTGTTTTCTTTCCCGTTACACTATTGCATAACATATGAAAAGTGATTGTAATGCAGTCAGTTTAGATTAAACCAGCTCAGTCTCCTCAGTCATCCATTTTAATAATCTGCCGTTTAAAAAAAACTTTTAAAGACCATCTGGAGATAAGTCTCATGTTGACTTTTTGGTACTTTATTGATTATGTTTATGGTAAAGGTTAATCAAGTTTTGAATGAAAGCATGTAAAAAAAACGCTTGGCCGTAATTGCTGTTGCACAACAATTATGCCTCCTGCCGTGCTCAGTGTGTGTTTCCCGACAGCAGACTTGCCTCCTTCAGGGTCTGTGTCAGCTTCCGTCTGGCCACAGGAGGTGAGAGGTCTTCTTTGCTCAGCAGGTCCCAGACATTATCTGGGATGGCGCGCTTGCAGAACGTGCCTCGCAAAAACATTCAATTTAATACAGCCGTCACTGAAGCCTTTGTGCACTGAAGTGATGGAAGATGAGAAGCACATGCTTTCTGTTCACATCAGGTGGTGTCCATTTTGTGGAAACAGTGGTCTGTTCCCCATAGCTTTTTATTCACAGCCATTTGCAGAGTGCACGTAGAGGAGAACTAGCAAGTTCAGCTGATGTTTCTGGTTGAGTATTTTACTGTTATATACCACATGTGTTGCAAATTAATTTGGAATATTTTGATTTGTTTTTTCTTTCATTTGAGATTGCCAGTTATTATTTCTTATAGTCACTCTGGCATATGGAGCTCGAGAGGTGCCCCAAGTGGTAGCCTTTATAATTCAGTCACTTACAATATGAGCCTGTATTTCATGTTCTTTACTGATGACTGCAGGCTAAATACAGCCAGAGTGATTTAATTTCTGTAGCACGATTTCAGTGTGAAAAATTGGCAGAATTAATGTTAGCAAAACAGTTTTAATGATCTCTGCAAAAAAAAAGAACCCTGTGGCATGAAATAAGAGCATATTAATACAGCACATCCTCAATTCTTATGGACTCATTTTGTCTTCAAGTGGTTTCTCTGTCAGAAATAGAGACCAAATATGTTTACTTACAAAATATTGTCAGCACGTGAAGGATTTTGCTTGCTTTGAAAAAACTCCCTGTACTTGGCAGAACCCACGTAGTCAAATTGCAAATGAGCTCTTTAGTTTGTGTTTTCCATCCTCCGTAGAGGGAACAAGCTTATTTTTAACTCATTTGTTTTAAATAAATTACCTCATATTTGTTTTCCAAAAGTTACTTAAACATATCACAGGAAAAAAATTATAGTGCATCTTTTAATGCAGTGTCTGGCTGTTTTCTACTTTGGATGACCTATTTTAAGATTAGCAGAGTATTTTTCATAATCGTGTTCTTATACTATCAGTGTTCTGCTCTGGGTCCTCATTCCCCTTGCTGACAGTGGTATTTTTCTGCTTCACAATCACTGTCATGCTGAAGAATGCACTGAAATGCACCTTCCCTTAGGAATGAGCTGCAGTGAATTTTCCATAATGGCTAGGTATGATATGAAATTCATGGAGGTATTATGAGAAAATCCCTATACACAAAATTAATTTTCCCAGGGTAACTGTTTTCTTTCGTAATCAGCTCTGCTGTTTGGTTTTCCTTTCACTCTGTGTATGGATTTAAGTCCCACATGCTGACATTGTATCTGACAGTTATTAATGTGTTCTCTTTTGTACGTATTGTGTGTAATTGAATAATGTGTAACTTGAAGGGTGTTTGTTGTTTGCAGGTTTGGTATCTGTTGGGGTGGGTGTGCTATCTTCAAAAAGAGAAGACTGAGGAAGCTGAAGCTTTTAAGGAATCTGCAAGAACCTATCTCACAAAGGCCAAACGGGTAGGCATTATGATTTCACTTTTTAAATTTTAATTTCATGACACATGAGGTTGACTACATTCTATGTCATTGTCAATGTAAATGTGCCTGGTGTATCTCAGATAAACATATAAGCGTGATATAAAGATATACCTCTTTTTTTTAGAATCGTTTTTCCATATTTGTTGTTGGAAATATTTATCGGGCTTAATCAATAAACAAGCATCATTAATGTCAAAACCGATAGTCTGTGACTGTCTTATTAATTTCATAGTAATTGACAAATAGCAATTCATTTATTTTGAAAAAAAATTGCTTATTTTATTCAAAGGTATTAAATTTGCACTGTCATAGAAAAATATGATTTTGAAGGATTTTGCCTGAAAGACATAGGGTTGAGTATTGAATGCCATTGTAATGTATAACTTATATTTACTTATATATATACTTATAACTATATTGCATAGTCAAGGGTAAATCTTGCCGTAAAATGGCTTTTGTACACTTGCTCAACAGATATTTTTGACAGGTTGAAAAAAAGTGGCCCAAAATTGAAATTGTATCTCATCTGTTTTGCTTTGTCTTCCTGAATGGGATTTTTCCTCATGCTGAGTTTAGGAAGTGCAGGTTTCTCAGAAAGAACAGGCAGGCTGCAGGGCCTGAGCGCACCTGCTGTCCTCTAACAAGTGCTGTGGGAGCCCTAATGACCACAGAGCAGATGGGCGCACAGTGGTGCACCTAGCCCAGCTCATGCTGAGATCCTGATGTATAGAGCATTTTCAGGTTATCCCAAGTAGATCATGAACCTTTCACCCTGTGACTGAGATGCAGGAGTTGGTAGAAAGATTAGAATATGTACCGATAAGAAAGTTTATTATTGCTGAAGTAATATTTAATCAAAATGCGCATTAAATGTCACTCAATACTCATGTGAGTTTTCTTATTATTCAGCAGAGTCTGCCTGCTAATTTATACTGTGTTTTCCAGACCGTATGCCCTGACAAATATCAGATGGAAATTGAATTCTGAGCTAGTTTCAATAAGACCTGACAGGATGTTGATTGTGATATAATAACTGCCTGTCCAAGGTAAGAAACAAGGCAGTTGAATAAATACATCCAGCACCCTGGAGTATCCTGTCGATATATTTTCAAATGAACATGAATAATATATTTTTTTTTCATCATACTCCTTCAGTTGGAATATTACTAACAAGAAATTAAACAGAATTTTTCAGCTGTGCCAGAGCTCACTAGAGGTTATATAATTTGATAGATTGATCAAAGAACATAACTTTTTCTGGATTAGTGTTGCATCTTTTTTGAGGGCTATTTTTTAAAATGTGTAGTTCTGAAGCCTCACAACTCTCTCTTTTCACAAAGCCAGTATTTACTTGGCTTTATGCTACAGTATTGTAATGGGTTTAGATGTAATTTAAATCAATCAGGCACATACTGTAGCACATTTTCCATCCTGTTAAATGCTAAAAGTCATGGCATTCTTCACAAATTTAAAACCACATCTAATCATTTTTCACACTGTTTTACCCTCCTGACTGGATTCAAGCTACAAAAAAATTAAATCCACATCTCTTTATTGTTCTCAGCCCTAATCTATCCCTTATGAAAATGCTTCTTTCCGAGTTTTGATGATTAAAGTCCCTTTTTGTAGAGAAAGCTCACGTAATTGAATAATTCTTAAATGTGTTAAGGAGTTGCCTATTGATATAAATGAGCACGGAACAATGTGAGAGATCCAGAATAAAAAATCACAGTAGTCTTAAAGCTGTTTTGTGTTGAAGTAATTGAACTAAAGACTTGTTTGGTCACCCTAAAATGCATTATACTTTCCCAGAAATAAGCAAACACTATGCACACTTTTCACTTGAAAGACACACACAGATTGTGACAGAGATCACAAGCTGGTTACCTATTCAAAGTGCTTTACTAGTAACATGCAATCCATTCACATGTATAATGTGCTTGAAAGTGGGTGCCATTATACTTGATACATTGCCCCTTTTCTACACCATCAAAAAATGTGTCCCAGTTACCAAAACCATTTGTTATCTGATCCCATTGGGAGAATGTGTACAGACAATGCAGTTACACTTAGGCCTTTCCCATTGGCTGGGCAGTACTTTTACACTATCAACTGCTTTTGTCTTGGGTCCTTTTCAATTCATTTAAAGGATTTTCTGCTTCTTGCAACTTTCAGTAAACATAAGATAGGTGCAGTTTTCCCAAAGCTTAGTTTTTTGGAGGTAGAATAAAAACACCCCAATCTCCTGAAAACATTGAAATTGCCGCATTTTTGCTTTAGCTACTTCAAAAAAAAGTTATTTTCTGAGATGCTGAATGTGTATATGGAACAATTACTGTCTTTCTGTGTTATAATCATTCTGAACATTCCATAGACATAGAAATGTCACCCCCTACTAACTTTTATAGATCACCAGTTTATTCTGTAATGGCTGGTATCTAGTCAGTTGTATATTAAATAATTTTAGTTAGCTCTGCTGGAAATATTTCAATGACATTTCATCAGTATACTGTATGTACTACATGATGTCTTTGTGATTTTAGTTTCCATTTGCTCCTGGGCTAGGATCATAAGTGCAGTTAACAACAAATTACGATTTATAAATACAGTACATTACTATATTGGGATCATAAAAATAATAACGCATGCATAGTTGTATTGTTCAGTAAACACATGCAACTTTTTCCACAAACTAAATGTGAAATTACATTTCAGGTGTAAATGTTTTAGCAAATAATAGTCTGAAAAATGAGGGTGTTTTGGAGGTATATTTATACTGACAATCACAAGTATATACTGCATGTTAATCACATATTGCTTTAAAATTGTTTCATTTAACAGGAAGGATGAGTGATACTGTTGTGTGCTGTGGTGGTGGTGGACTTTGGGTTGAAACAGGTGGATCCATGTTTCACCACTGGCAACTGTACAGGAATGCAGTTCTCTCCATGACTTAACACAGACTAACGCATTGCACACATCTGCACACATACATCTGGTCCATCACACTTGGGTTCATCAGTTTTTAATGAAAGGATGTGTACAGTATATTGTATGTTTTAGTAACACAAGAATGGCTCAGTAAATTGCAGGCTGATATCTAGTTACTTATGATCGCGGACTCCCCAGCTTCACAAACATACAGCGGCACTCCCCTGACAGTGGAGAATCCCACCACCCTGAAGCACTAGCTCTCCTGTAGCGGGACAATTCCCCTGTATCCAGGTCCCTAGGGGGTTGTCACCATAATGAGCTCAGACAACCCTACAGTATATCACTGGCAGTGTCTCTAGCCTCCCAGGACTCAGAACATCATTTAATATAATTATACTGTCTTTACTCACTCATACACACTGGACCTTGTCATACACTTACTCCCATGAACATTTTTCACTTTTCTGTGGACGTTTACAGCCTTCTCACCTCGTACTGTCATCGTCACTCTCCTGGTACACATTTTCTTGCATATTGCCATTCTGATCGGGAGGGCAGCGCTCTCTCATGAGTGACACTTGGATTTCCAGTTCGCAGGTGACACAACCTACCAAGCTGTGCATAATGTGCATTGAGCCCTATATTTGAATAAAATAAAAACATTTCCAAGCACCCCACCTACTGTAAATACAAGTGGGGAAAAAGGGATTCCCATGTAGGTTTCGAACAAAAATAGCAAATAGGTTAAAATCTCAGCATGCTGTACTTCCTGTACTTCTTTCACTTGATTGGAATTCATGAGATTACTGTGGGGTTTGGGGTGTATGCGGTCCACTTACAAATAAAGCACATCCACTGCATTAAAAACGTCCTTCTTTTGAGGCTCTGCGAGTAGCAGTGCTTATGATTCCTGTGTCTCCACTTCTAACATTGATGAGTCTCCTTTTGACATGTATCCTTCGCTGTCTTCCTCGTGATACAAATGCACTGCATGGCCTCCACCATATGTTCCAGGCAGTCAGCTTGAGGGAAACCTCACTGCAGCCTGGGAGGAGGGACCTCCAGCCGAGGTTATTGGAAAAAGAATAGCAGATGAATAACAACAGTGTAAGCAGAATATTAATTGCAAGTGTGATAAGTGACATACAGTGAAAATGACTGCTGCAAGCAGCAGGTAGGAGATATGCAGGCATCTTGTGATAATCGTCTGATTTTTTATTCCTTTTTTATTATCAGATTTCATATTTATACATTTAAAATAACAGCTTTCTATAGCAAAAAGAGTAATGTGTAATGTGTTTTATGAACAATATGATAACCTTTGTTATTATAATTTTGCCCACTATATGAAATAGCCACTATACTTGTAACTGATGTACACTGATAAAGGTAATAGAAGAGTTGTTGTACAAAACCAGACTCTTAATCTAACGGTTGCCGTCAATATTTTATATTCTGTATATACATTGTGTTTAAATTGTAGAACCTCAAGATTAAAGCATATATAATTCTTGAGAAGTGTCCTTACTCCTACTGTTTAGTATCTCATGAGAGTTGACAAGCTCTAGTACAGTAATAAAGTGAAAAACACTGAAAAAGCACATTAAAAGAATAGACATTTGGAATGAGACCCTCAATCAGAAAAGGGGTTTGCAGATTGTTAAATTCATACATATCGGCAAAATATGAACAAGAAGCAAATCGACTTTCCCTAAAGTACCGAAGAAGTATTTGACTGTTCTTGAACTAAAAGTGAATCTATTGTGCATGTTTTATTGTATGAGTAAATACAATCTTTATCCCATATCCTAATAGTTTTTGCTTCAGATTTTATTTGTGAAAGTTTTTGTTAGTTAAGAAAGGCTTGGAATACTGACATGCAACACTCTAGAAATGCAGAACATGTACTTCCAAAAGTCAAAGGGAGTCTTAATAATGCAAAACATTGAATGTTCTTGACATTTTTAATTGTATATTGTCTCATCATACCCATGCATTTATATGATATTTAAATTAAAGTCACAGTTCAGTATTCATGGCCTGTT